CATTTTTTCAGACCCCATTTGGAGGGTACCGGTCGTACGGTATTGTTAAAGGCACCCAGTGTAGTTTTAGGGCTTGGAAACCCAATTTTTCAAAGCCAATAGTCTAGTCACTTATCTACATACTGAGTTGAAACCACATTGTCACAATGTATAGTGACCCTCATGGAGCCAAAATTCTGACGTAAAATGGTTACTGGAAGGGCCCTTGGCCGATTTTTAAGGTACCGCCCATAAGATAAAGGGCTCATCTTGGGGCTTGTTTCTGCAGTTTTGAAAGCCTTAAGTATGAAATATGTCAAATGTGCTAATATGAAACACTGTGTCAATATCACAAAGATTGCCTTATTCAGAATATTTCCAGTTTTGCTGCACTGAAATTGCATGGATGCCTTTACGATATATGTGGCAGTTGCCTCTGTGGGTTTTAAACAGGCGGTCACCTCAACAATGAGAGGAGAAAATGTGAATAAAGACGCGTGAAAGCGTGACCCTCTCCCCGCCCCTCTGTCCCTACATACCACATACACGCCGTAAAACCGTGACAGGACATGGAAAATATCAGACGGTAGTGTGATGCTTTTCTCTCGGAAATTTAGCATGGAAGATGGTGGTAACATTATATATATTCTAGTGAGACCTACGACATGCCATGCAGTATAATGCTTTCACAAAATGGATAAATTGTACAAATTACAAGGATATATGTACCATTGCACATAATATTTTTGCACAATGCCAGTTGCTTAAGTTTTACAACATGCCAAATGTCGTGACAGTGCACTTACACACCAGCTAACATAATTATAGAGTCCACGGCATATTCTAGTCTTTCGAACGACAAACTAGGGTATTTTCTCACAAATTTGTTTTTATTCCTTTGACCCTGAATTTAGACGTTATAGTTACTCCCACTAGATCATTTCAATGACGTTGTGGAATTTCAGCGAAACAAAAAGAAACCGTTTGAACTTTAACCTATTGCAGACATGTTTTTGTTCCTACATTTTGTATAGCCTAGTTTCTCCGCAACGTTTGTAAAGATAATGAAGAAGCTAAAAAAAGACAACAATGAACCAGTAGATCAGCAGCTCTCATCTCTAGGCCATTTGTCTGTCCCGATACAAAGCATAACAAGTACAGCTAAGCGTGCAAAAGCCACATATATCTTTGACACGAATTATGATACGCGCTACGGTTTGGTATGAATTTACAGCAAATACACATAAGCACTATCACCAGTCCCTACAATCATGTATTGTTGAATCAGATGAAACATGTAGTTCTTTTCAGCACAGAAACAAGTCTACTTACTACGATAGACATTACGCTGCCATGGTATCTATTGTTGTTCACCCAAGGACATATGAGACTCACATAAAACAGACGTGTGTGTAGGAGGCACGTTTAATATTGATACACATTCCAAGCTTGATTATGTCTGGCTCATTCTAGCGAAAAGAAGGCGCAACAGAACTCATTCTGTCGGGTGGAAGTGCGGGGAATGGTGAGCGGTAGTCTGGTGTACATCTGCGGTAAATTCTGTCACTGCAAACCGCGAGCCCGGGGCGATGTGGCGGCAGACGGGTCGGGAGTTGGTCCGGCCGACGGTCGGGAGGATGGTGCTGAACGACCCCGTGACGGTAGCGAACTGTCTGCACCCCGTCTGGTCCTCACAAAAGTTCTCATCTGACAGCACAGGTAACCAATTAAATATACTACAAACCAGTGCTGACAAACTGCTGGTACGTTTGATAGATAATGTCTGTCGTCTGTTGTCTCTTTCTGGCTTGTAGTCGCCAGTAGTAGTCCTTATTTTCAGCTCAGTAACAAACACATTTAGATTTTTTTTGTCTTTCATTCCAATCTTGAAGCCAAATAAAGGTTACATGTTCGCAAGATTTCCCTTTGCCATGGCCTCAACAAGGAAAAAAGATAACTCTTGGTGGTTACAACAGAGGAAAATAGCTAGCCCGACAAACCTGCGACTTCAAAAGGACATTTTCGGCAGCAATACGACCGTCTCATAACGATCTCTGCACGATTCGGCCTATGCTCGCAGCTCGCCCAGCCCTGTTCAAGGTGATAGGGTAGCATTTTTAGGCGAAAAAGTGTCCTTATGTCTGGAAAATTTTGAAATTAGAAGACGTTTGAATTCTGGCGATCAACAAATTCTGCCGAAGGCCGTTTGACAGCGTGACAGCCTCTTTAGCACGCCACCTCATTATCATTATGGTTAAAATAGAATTCTTACTTGTCACACGAACTTATACGAATTTTTGGCGCAAAGTTGCAGCTCAGTCAATATAGACTCTCTCCCTCTATACAGTACCTTTAACACTGTATCTGGCTAACGCCGGGACACAATTACTACAGGCTTTACCCTCATGCGCTAAGCCTTCAGATAACAGAACTGATAGACGAGGTTGTAAAAGCAGATCTCCAAGGTAAACAAAGAATAACACAATCGGCGGTGTCCCCATAGCCCCGCTGGAAAAATTACACTGTAGCCTGCGCACCTGAGATCCTCCATTCCCGCCTGTTTACGGCCCAGCCACACAGGAGTATAATGAAATTTTCTCAATCATTCATATCCTTCTGTCTCTTTTCGACCTGGAAAGAAAACTAATCAACTTAATGTTCTTAAACAAGGGCCGTGTATTCCCTGTGGACGCGGCGCGCAGCGAGTAAAATCGGTAGCACACAAAGGACGCGCGTTCCACACGGCGACGCGTGGATACCTATAGAATAGGGCGGGAACGGAGATCGGGCCTCTCTCTACGGACAATTTAGCACAAGGGCAGGCTGTCTGATGCTTTTCTGGTGGTCTTCTGTCTTATTTATGGAAGACAATATTTCTGTGGTGTCAGAATTCTGATAACGCTAGCTCTGCTGCAACATCGTCCAATCTCACAAGAAAATGTAGGAGCACCAAATCCGAAATGTCATTTGTTGAGAGCGGTGAAGTGGCGGTGTGGTTTACATCCCTACAGGCACAAGAGACACTCCAGTCATAAATACCCGGCTTACTAAATTGGATCAGCGCTCGCCAGACCAGACCTCCGTTTAAATGTGGTTATTGTGTTGTTAGTACGGCCTGCCAAATGTTACATTACGTCGGATCATAAATATATTCATCGCGGCGCGTGTGTGGGGGGGGGGGCAGTTATGTGAGTGAGCTGTGCCTCAGTGCCCGGCACGCGACTGTGTTTATACGTTACGGTACGGCGCCTGTCATAGACTTTAATGGCCCAGGTCATCTTACCAGCAGGAACCTAATGATTTTACCACATAGCCCCGTGGCGTAAAACACATTCTCCACTTGTGGCCTGTTCCCAAATTACACGGCTGTTTCTGTGACTGCCGGTGTCAGTTTCCCCTGTACAGGAGGGCTTCTGTAGCCAAGTTACTCTCCGAGCAGAAGTTAAGGCTTTGGCTTATTTGAGCTGGACGTATTCTTAGCATTTTTATTAGATTTTCTCTTTTGTTTTGCTATCTTTTTTTCGCCAGTCTTGTATTTAACCTTCTTGGTCAAACAAATGGTAACTGCTTGGTAAATGGATACTACCTGGTCAATTTTGCAGCCACCTTTCGAAAGATCTGCTTGTAGATTACGCTTCAGTCTGTTCAGAAAGCGGTTTGTATCCATTTCCTAAAACGGTTCCCGTATATTCTGCTGTATTCCATGTCCGGGGAATTTCCTAACCCGAGAATTCACCACAGAGTACTCCCTGAGGTCGTCAGTTGTGCCATGATATACTTACACCACACGAACACAGCTCACCTGTCCATTCTAAACCCAAATGTTTCAAATCAGACGGCTGAACTCGCTACAAATAGGCGCACATAACATGTGAAGCCCGCAGTGTCGGGAACATCTCACCCGTGCCAATCACTATGGATAACTGGTGCTTTGGGCTCTCCAAGTGGTCCCAAATCAATCAGCACCTAACACCTAATCAGCCGGCCGTGCGCTGCGCCAATACGCGGAGTCAGAACACTTGTGGGTTTATGGCATCTCCCCCTACATCCAGCCTACTGTACTCTCCGGTCGTGCTACAAATGGTTAATTTCCCTGGGTGATAGGACAGCATGTCTGCCTGCAACATTGTGGGTGTTTGCACACGTGCACGGGGTAAACTTACTCCGCCCGTCCATCTTCTACTGTCTGTACCCTCATGCTACATTACCTGACGTACCTTCAGCTCTAGACAGCTAGATTCGAATACGATCTTTAAAAAGTAGAATATCTACAAGAGACTAGCTAGGACATCTATAAGAATGTTGTAGACAGTTCCTTGCGAAAATTAACAACGTTACTTCAGTCGTCATTATCGATGTCTTCAGATAGACGGCACACAAACCACACGTCCACACATTGTTGAAAACGTCTCTTCTTTCTTTTGACTTGTAAATGTTGTTGTTAGGTCGCGTGGCCGGCACGCGCCATGGTTTGGGAGGACGACACACAATACATGACCCATAACTCGTGAATAATCTCCCCCATAGTCTACACGTCACCGCATTAGTCCCACCATGCCTTGTTGTCGGTGGTAATCATGACATAATAAATCATGAGTGGTTCTACTAGATCAGCCCGCCATTGTGACGTGTGCCGCTGGTCATGGGGGCACGGCCGCTTTGTTAGAGTCCTCTTCTATACAACAAAAAACGCTCCTGTTTTCACATTCTAGTGCGAACATTCCGCTTTTTAAAACTTGTTGGCTGTATGCACCCCTAGACCCAGCCATCCTTCCAACCATCCATCCATGCACCTTCGACTCAACAGTCGCCTCCAAACTAACAGATGAGTTCTGAAGTTGTATGCATCGCAATAAGCTTATTATTCACCTGCGGCTCGGGGATTGTCATTCCTCGGTGAATCCAGGTCCCAAGTCGCCGACCACACGACCACCAAGGCCCGGTTATAGATATGCATATATTAATTAGGTGCACCCAAGCCCGGTGATATATAGGCACTGTCACGTCATCACTGACATCCCAATAGCGAGGACGGTACCTCGACTCTCGGGCGTGTATTTGGTTGTCCTTCTGTCACACAGCCTGGATTACGGACCTCATCAGCCTCAGATCGCGAGGAGAGGAGAACATGTCGACGCTGACAGCAGGTCCTTCCCCGGTAACGATCACAGCCAACACGGCAGCCAGCCCGCCCACCCCGTCCGGCGGCGCGCCCACCGCCGGCTCGGCCGCCCCTACCCCCGAGGTTCTGTACGCGCTACTGGCCAACGACAAGTCCCTTGAAGGTACTCGCGCGTCGCTACTTTAATAATCTCGATTCATTTTTCCAATATTTCTCATTACCTTGTGCTACATAAGTTATTTGCTGGCGGGTAAATTAGTTTTGAGGAAGTACAAGGCTAATACATTTGAGAGGCCCTCACATTAAGTGATTGTATCTTTCCTCAATTAAACTTATGGACAAACAATATGGGCCTGAGGAGATTAGAATCACAGGACAGTTTCTCTCTTTCCAGTGGATTTTTGTGTTTACTTTTCCAATTTTCCGGGTGATATGAGAAGTTGAGTCCGGGGAACATGAGTGAGCATTTCAATTTGCGCAGGAGAGTAAACCAGGCGTTACGACGGCGATTTCGTTTGCCAGAAATTACAGGATTTTTATTTAATTTTTGGCAGCGGTCTAGCGTCCTGTCACGTACAGCCGTTTCGATATGTTCACTTTAATCAATTTATGACTGCGTCGGTTATATTAGCTACTTGATGGAGCTTCTTGTCATTGAAGACCTGGACTTACTTGAGTGTCGGGCGGCTGTTTTCTGGTCGCCGCTGGGTCTGTCCTTTTCCTGCCGCGCGATCTTGGCGGAATCTCCGGTCCTCCTGGGCAGCCGGACGCTCCAGTTTTTCCCGCACGTAAGCTTTTCCACAAGGGTTTTCAGTCGAAATTTTGCGTGAAATAATATCTATTCTTCAACTTTTCTTCGTTTCATCGATACAAGACAACAGAATATGGGTCAGAGAAAGAAAATAATCGGAGTAGAAAGTCAAAATGTTCTGCTATTTGCGAGGCTGCTTTTTATGTGTAGTTTGAAGTGTTCCGTCTTGAAGTGATAGACCTCTATTCGTTGTCATTGGGGGAATTTCTTGGTTTTTAGACATATACAAGTATATCTATATCCGACTGATAGTAGAATGCATACATGTGTACTGCGCCTAGCAATACTACATCTATCATGTTTAGAAGTGGAAGAAAAGGCGTGTATTTCGCCAGCTATGTTATACGGGTAGACCTTGTCCAAGCGTCTTCTTCTGTTTTGCCATGATGTATTTTGTCGGTGGTACATGGCATTTTTCCCTTCGGCTACTAGTTGTTGTTGTTCCTTATTTTCTGTTCAGAAAAAATTATACTGTTCAGAAAAAGTCGTTTTAACTGATAGCGGTAGAATTACGCCATATTGCAAGCCTAGCCAAACACAGTGGACTTCGTTGTAACCATTTAGATAAAACCATCCCCTAAACAGTTTATTTCCGGAGTAAGTCACTCGCTAGTAAGGTTAGACGAAAAGACAGTGCGCGGTTACTTCGGCAATGATGCGAATTTCACAAACGAAAATAGCCAAGAGTGAGTGGCGTTTTTTGGAGTATCGTCGCCCTAAAAACAGTGTGAAAACCACAGGAATTGTGAACGTTGTCTGCCGAGTCTACCTGTGGTCCCTGTTATGTTTTCGACACGTGCCAGGTGTATTGTGGAAGATAATAATAGCCAGGGTTGCATGCGGCTTCACATATGATGCGTTAAGTGCACAAAGGCCAGGGAAAAATGATCCGCGGCAGGGCAGGGGGAAAACATAACCTGAGCACTTTGAAACAAACCATTTCTGTGTCATATTCCCTCCCTATGTAGCACAAAAGTTCTACTAAATGTTCTTTGCTATCATTGTATTGTTTAAAACACTGTACAATTTTAAACTCATTGCCGATAGCGTTCATTCTTCTTAATGTAGAAGCAAAAAAATGTACATATATTTCAGTGTGTAGAACAACATGGAGAAAACTTGACATGAAACTGAGAGTTTGATATGTGGAGTTTTGGCGTTTCCTTGCTATATTCTCGTTGTTGAAATTTGTGATGTGCTCGGTCAGGTGGAACAGGTGAACTGACAGGTGCGGTGGTTAACAAAACAGCTGTTAACACAGCCACGTATGTACGTACAATTTACTACGGCCAGATGAACCAGACTTGTCATATCACAACCCAGCTTTGTACATATGTGAAACAGCACATCTCTGGTTCATTCTAGTTGAGTCCCGCTTTTCTGAAGTTTTATTTATCTTCTAATTTTTCCCTCGCTTGGCATCTGTCTATACTAGACTCAAACCTACTGAGCAGTAAATTGTTTCTTCATGTTGTATGTTCCTACCTTCGAAATGCTGACAATACTTAAGAACGGTCATAGTGAAATGAACACTCAAATCTATATACTGTAAGCAAAGAGCGGTACTATTTTGGCCCGTACAGATCTTTTCAAAATCGTTCTTTTCGTAGATATTCTAACATGATAGACTACTGCACGTCTGAACATTAGAGGTACCATGTTTATTTGGGTTTATGTACCATATGAAACATATCTATACTAAATATTTTTCTCCGAATGTTGTAAAATAGACGTAGTCGCCATATTTCGTGTTTTTGACCAGACATATGGGATATTTTTTGTTCTAGGAGCTTTTGTAGTTCTGCCATCACGCGCCGACGCTATTTTCTATTATTGAAGACCACAACTGTTCAGTCGTCATTTTAAAGAGAAAATCGCCTCCGGCGGTTAAACCGCCGACTGAATAGCTAATGTCTCTATTCAGTATGTCACTACCGGCTAGGGCGAGTTTTCATACCAGCCGTAAATGTTGGGTATATTCAGTACTGAGGAAAAAAAACAGAGCTAAAATGTATTTGTCACCAACTCTGGCCTTCTACACTTTGTGTAGGTATTTGCTTCATACCTAAAATACGAACTATATAGAAATGTGTGGAACAGTCTAATGTAAAATCCCTGGTTTTGGGGTTGGATATGTGGGGAACATTAACAGGTGTGTGGTGTGTGTCTGTGAGAGGGGGCGGCGCACGCACCACGCAATATTACACGCCAGCTTTTCAAACGTTTTTACGCACATTTTGATGTGAAATTCACTGCGAAATACGGTGTGTTTTGTCATTTTCTATTTCTTCTTCAGTGTTGTTTGACACGTCTTTAACATAAGCGATGTTCGGACATAATGTTAAAATGTGACACGGCAAAGTAGAGTTGCTGACGTTGCTAAAATCGCTGTTCGTTCCACGACCAGTTTAAATGCCGAGGAAATGTAAGAAACACCCTGTCCTGTCTGGGCATTCTCTCTAAGAACACGCCATCTCAAAACAGATATATATCTCTCGAAATATGTCCTTTGTTAAGTTTGCTATTCTGTGGATTTTCGCATATGTAACAAGTCGACTGGTTAGTTTACACATCTGTCACAGATCGGGAGAACCGTACCGGCAGTTTTCCACACAATAGTTACTGGATACAGTGTTGCACTTTTTCTCCAAACAGTCAACAATGAGCTTTTCAACGTATGCTAGAGCAAATACACAAATCCGTAGGTCAAACACTGGGGACGGAAGCTCAGGAGTCAGAAATTCAATTTTCTCGTTAGCTATACTGATGTTTTAAGCAATCACATCGTTCTAGAAAGATCTGGGGAATTGGTACTTGTACTCGAAGAGCAGAGAAAGGTTGCTAAATTTGATGGTTTTGAAAAGGGGCGTCTATCCGCAAAAGAGCGAAGCTCTCGTATGGTCACAGTACCGTCTCTCCTACATATGTGAACACAATTCTGAGCGGATAGCAAAGCGAGCAAAATGCATAAAAACACATCTTTTGATCACGTTTCGGTGCTAGTACAAACTGCGGGCCCTCCCCAAGCACAGCTCTGACCAGGCTAGCCGGTCTGAGTCTCCCCCATTGTGTGCGCGTGGCATCTTGATCAGCCACAATTTCACGGGAAATCAGGGAGAGTTTGTCCAGCTTCGCCTGGGACCCTCGCCCAGAATAGCCGGCAAAATCGCCACACAATAGCCGCTATTACCATTTGTAAGGGTGGCCGAATCTTCGTTGACATTCACATTTTCCGGCTCGGGGTAAAAAGAATGGGGACAATTTCGGCACGCATCCGGTGTTAGCCTGATGAAGTCATCAATTCCACGGCATCGCACCTGCGTGCGCGCAGTCAGGAACAAGCACAACTACTCATCCTTACCTTACCTGGAAAGAGAAAGACACAGAAAAGATTACTGTTGCGTCTAGGTTTATCAGCACACACTGTTTTGATGTCTCTCGTGTTAGGAAAGCTACAGAACTGACTCTGTGTCGTGTGCGTAAAATCAACAGATGGTCTGATAACAGTTATTGTCTGAATGGTAGGTCTAAATGCACGGGGACAGATAATATGTTTAGGAAGATGTTCCTCTATATGGCATGTAGTACATTATGTTAACAATCTACATCAATGCTTACATTTCTAGTGATATTTGTCTAATACCAAAGCAGAGTTATGAGGAAAATTTGTTAAAATTTGTTGATCATGGAGAAAGATGTAGTGTCAGCAGTATAGCTAAAAACAAGGAGAAAAATACCTCTGTATGTATATATAGTAAACATTTAGGGTGTAACATGGACAGTAGTGTTTGTAAACCAACGTTCAGGGTGTAACATGGACAGTAGTGTTTGTAAACAGCGTTCAGGATGTAACATGGACAGTAGTGTTTGTAAACCAACGTTCAGGGTGTAACATGGACAGTAGTGTTTGTAAACCAACGTTCAGGGTGTAACATGGACAGTAGTGTTTGTAAACCAACGTTCAGGGTGTAACATGGACAGTAGTGTTTGTAAACCAACGTTCAGGGTGTTACATGGACCTTAGTGTTTGTAAACTAACATTTAGGGTGTAACAAGGACAGTAGTGTTTGTAAACCAACGTTCACTGAGGGTGTAACATGGACAGTAGTGTTTGTAAACTAACATTTAGGGTGTAACATGGACAGTAGTGTTTGTAAACCAACGTTCAGGGTGTAACATTTTGACATCGTTTTTTATATGATATGATATGAATCTTTATTGCATGTCCTTGCCCAGATGGGCTAAATGCACAAGAGGATATCCAGTATGTAAAACATGAGTATTTCATACTGGTACACTGGTACATGTTAGCTTCCACTACTTTTCGTGTACCGCTATCGTCAATGTTGTATGGCATAACAGATAGCTTTGGTGATGACATTACCAGAATCGGTGAACATTTCATAAAATGATTGTATGAAATTCGAAGTTCTCTCCAAATCAAAAAGTTTGATAATATATCTTCATCAATTTTCACACCTTTCAAGCTGTTTGTGTGTAATTGTATGTTTTTATTTATACAATAAATTTCAGAAAAAGGAGGACAGCAATGAATTTATTATGCAGAGTAGGTGTGTGCCACGAAACCTTCTTCCACATGAGAGGCGCTGCCAGCTTGTTTCATGTTGTTTTATATATGGACAGTCAGTGTGGATGAAGAAAGAAATTAAAATCCGACGCACAGAAGAACAGATCATAGCTTTCCTCCTCCTCGATGCGTCCCCAGAAGGAACAGAATTGGTTTATTTCAGCTCCAGAAGAAAAGCCGTCGCCACATGTCTCGCCCGCTTTATTACTTTAAGCAATTAGTGACCACAAACTACATTTTTGCAGATGCAATCGGTCAGAACGTCAACTACAATTTTTAAAATTCAAAAACAAGGAAACGGCGGGGTTGGACGTAATAACGTCAGGGGGTTGGTTATTAGATTATCCGGAGATCCATGACTATGAGTTCAATGTCTGGGAGGAAAATCAGTGTCGTTTACTAAATTGGAAGTAAATAGTTTGTGGATGTATGTGACAGGGCGGGTGTGCGGCGGGGCGTGTGTCTGTGTTTGTCAAACGTCTGATAAGTGGTGGACGTTTGTTTTTGTACCAAACTGTTGGCCGCAACTCAATGTTTACCTCCTACACACGGGCTCTAGCGACACAAACTCTTGTCAAAACGCCTGTTGTGACGGGAGTGATACAGTTCGCGGTTGTCAAGTCATTTATTACTCGAAGAAATCTCAGGCAAAATTCTCCATAACATTTTGACACAGTTTTCTACGAAGAGACCCATAGAAATTTCAAATAACGCAGAAAAATATTAGCCAAGCTATTCACATGAATATAACCCATGTATATCATGAATAATATTGCGGTGAATAAAATTTCGTTTCGCAGTAGTGACAAATATGGATTTTATCAAAATTTTCAGTCAGTTGGAGAATCGGGGCGTGTGGAAATGTGTATCCGCCTTCTCTATAGGTACAGATGTGTATACAATCAGCTACAAGAACAGCAGTCCCCGTTCTTACAAACACAAACGTACCTTTATGATTCTTGTAAACCTGACATGCAGTTGTGTATGGCTGGAACCTCGCCCGTTGTTTGTACTAAGAACGCGAGAAGGAATGCCCTGTTGTTTATCCTGTTGTCTAGTCAAACTGCCCTGGTGAAATGCGAAGTTCGTTTGTTGGTCTGGCTAACGAGATGTTTGTTGTGCGATCACGCAGCAATACAAACACAGCTATCTCCCTGATCCCTCCCTCAATAGACACGACATGTCCCGGGTACGATAAAGGTCTGAAGACACCGGCTGGATCAAAGATACCGGCTTCTTTTGTTACGTCTTTAAGTCGAATGATTCCTTGTCTTCCTTGAAAACAGGTTTTTAACTAATATCGATAGTGTATTACTACGTTTATTACAGACCTCGCGATTTGACGCTGTGCCATTTGATAAGTGAAGTCGGTGTCTAAATAATACATAACACATCGATATGTAAGCAAATGTAGCTGAAATGTGATATCAGACAGTGTTCTTGTTACGATCACACTAACATAGCTATCTCAGGAACAGGCCGGGAGAAGTACGTTCTGAGAACGGACTGTAGCGATTGAGCTACTAGTATCTATAAGAGTATAGGTTACAGTGCTACCCGCTCGCTACGAAAATACTTATCTTGTACTTATGCACTTATGCAACTGTGTTGTATACGGTGGACAGATAGCGATATCAATGTGTATTTGCTGACGGTAGGAGTACAGTATACGCGGGTACGAGGGATCGTCACGTTGATTTTTACATAAGTTAAAACTTGTGAAGTTAGCTGTTAAATTTGGTATCTACAAGTTCATGATTGGGAGTTTTGTATCTGATTAACATTAACAATAATCGTATATATAAACGTGATTTGAAGTAAGAAAAATTCAAACAATATTATGGTTCTGTAGATCGTGGTAAGTGCTAAAGTAACTATTGTAACAATATTGAAAATGTACGGTGCACGTGCGTGCATGTGTCTGCATTTTTTATAACTATTCAATTGTTAGATACATTTCTTTATTTTTTTTCGACACAGAATGTAGAAAATATCTATTTATTCTGCAGCGAGATTGTAATATTTTTTGGAGACGGTGTTTCATTGAGTGTCCGTGCCTGTACTGCTGTAGAAGTACGTATCTATCGTGATGATCTAATTCCATATTTGCTGAGAGACCACCTTGTAACCGTGACCCGGCCTGAGTCATGCCTCTAGCCGGCCATCTGTAGAACCTGTGTTACACCTGCTCGTGTGCAATCTTCTCTCAAAATTGCATAACAACAGGTAGAACAAGAGCGGGGTATCAGCAGAAGTACGTAAACAATGCCGCGGCCCCGCCTGTTGTCCCCTGCGGCGGCAGCCTCCAGAAAGGGGCTTTGTTTAGCCTTTCTTGCCCTGTGATTGGTGGAAGTCGGCGCAGAGGCATCGCGGTGTGCTTTAGATGCAAGCTACTAAACAAGTAGCTAAACACGCGAGCGCACGGTTGTGATTAGTAGTGCGAGGGACACGGCAGTCTGTAGGACCTGTCCTCCCCACATACACCAGCTGGAGTCAACAATAGACACAGGTCTAGTGCGGAACAGAGCTAGCTACAGCGAGCAGGCCAAAATGATGACCACCGTTCTACCGCTCTCCCCGCCGCCGGAGAACACCAAGCCGGGCCCGGGCGTGCCGGCCAGCGCTCCGGTCCTCATGGACATCCGCGTCAACTCCCGTAAGGACCAGTCGCTTTTCTCAGTCACTCCCACAAGACTTCAACCGGGCCCGAACATTTGACGTGCCGGTTAGGGGTTCTGATCGTGTCCACAGTCGTGGTTTTACTTTTACTGCTTGGAGACAAGTTTTGCCTGGGCGGGTCTTGGTTGTTGTGTAGGTTATATTTGTGTACAGATGTGTGTTGTTTTACCTCCTAGTGCAGCATTTGCATCCAGTTTTCACAGAAATTGACAAAAAAGCTACTTGCTTTTCAAAGAAGTGTTTAAAGAAGAGTGGAAAGGATGAAGGCAGGAGAGACCATCTGATATTCAAATCTTTTCATAGATGCCAAAAAACTACCAGGGTTCATCTGTCATAACGCGCGATGCTGCTTTTTTTTCAAGCAGAGAGAGTAAATCAGGGGTTGAACACGATGTTCTACAGTTGAATTTTAGTATGTTTAATACGTTTTTTTGTGTGTATTTTCTGCAGCGAACATCCCGAAGTGTGCGGGGTGTGAACAGGTGATCCTGGACCGCTTCATCCTGAAGGTTCTGGACAGGTCGTGGCACGCCAAGTGTCTGCAGTGTTCGGACTGCCAGGCGCAGCTCACTGACAAGTGCTTCTCACGGGACGGACACGTGTACTGCAAGGACGACTTCTTCAGGTAAATACAACACAGGACAACATGTAGAAGACATGCAGATCGCCTGTAGATAAGTGTTACTATTCAGAAAGAAATCAGTTCCTCATTGTGTCAGCCAGCGTAATGACCAGCTTAATATACCTGCCTATGCACATACCCTCAGGCAGATAGAAAACATTTCAAGGCAAAACGCTCTATCTATATGTATATTCTGTCATGTCGAGTTGTTGGGCCACAACTTTTTCACACAGCACCAAGCAAGGACCGGTGTAGATTCATAAATATATCTGATAAAAATATGATTCTCAAGAAACTCAATTTCCCGACCTGTCGGAAAGAAGTAAAACAATTGGATATTCTTATTACTGTATAAACATGCTTTAGTGTTGTTCTTCTGATTTCTCTCTGTCACAAAATTTGAAAACTGTTTGTAGTGGAATAAAATATTATGTAACAGAAGAAAAGGGGGTATAGGCAGTGTGTTTAAAATGGCTGTGATTCCGATTGTTGGAACTCGGAGAAGTTAAAAAGAAGTGTTTTGTGGACTCCTGCTGTGAAGACGGGGTAGGAAAGCAGACTTTCAATATTTACTCGGGACATGTTGATCTAACAGGCTTGTGGCTTGTTGTGTAGAGAACACGTATTGTCGTGATTTATCCATGTTTAATCTGCGATGTAACAAGGTCTGAAAGGCTCCATTTAGGGACAGTCGCAAGGCAAATTGTTTAACTGATCCCATGTCGCAGCCAAGCGAGAAAACCGAGATGGCCATCGCCAACAAGCTGTCGCGCGTGGGGAGGCACGAGTATTCTCTTACAAATTCTATTAAAACATCGGCATGCACGGTCCGCACAGCGGCCTGCACCCGCCGCAGCGCCCGCTTTGTGTTGTATTGTCCCCGGTAGTTTATTCACCATTTGACTCTTGGGACTTATAAGTGTTGTTCTTTGCTCTCACTCATTCATCAATAGAGCCTTTCTGTATAATTTTCCCCTTCAAATGTGCCGGTAAAAACCATGAAGTCTAGTTGAGCATTTCCGTTTGTTGTCTGTAGTAATTTTTGGACGGGTCGTTCAGAAATTGTGTCTCAAGAACGACATACATACAGCACAGCGGCGGGACATATCCGACACACACGGCGTTTATCCGCGTAAAACCTGTCATTATGACCTCCTGTCGGACAAATCCAGGGGAAAAGCCGTGATTTTCGCCACAGGAAGACGGCTCAGCGGCGTATGGTACAGTTAGCCGTGCCGTAATCACTAGTGTTACTGTCTCAACACATGCTGGGACAACATATGTTCTTCTAACTTCTGAGGTGTGCGAGGGGGGGGGGGGCAGGGATTTATTCCGTAAAATGTTGTAAAGTTGGGAAGTTTTGGAATCGACCTTGGAATAAATATGAAATAAACAACTCCCTCACTCCCCAACTACACATATTCATATGTAGGTATCCGTGGTGAGGAGGGGATACAATTGTGTAGTTTTCTCATACCACACTGATATCTGTGAGGCAAAAATGCGATGTCACTGATCATGATGGAAAACTCCTGCTTGTTTTGTACCAAAAAATAAGGGACTCCTCACGTGGATTGTTTTGGGGCTATTTAAAGAGAAAAAAAATCAATCAAATGCTTCCAGTATGAAATAACGACGAAAATGTGCAAGGGAATGACAGTGAATATCAGTATCAGACAGAGTTTCCCATCCAGAATATAGATATTTTTGTTTTACCGCTTTGAAATTACATGAAATTCATGTCATGAAGTTAATTTTCATTCTTCCTTCTCCAGGCGATTCGGGACGAAATGTGCGGGGTGTGGTCAGGGCATCCCCCCCACCCAGGTGGTCAGGCGCGCACAGGACAAGATCTATCACCTGCAGTGTTTCGCCTGTATCATGTGCAAGAGGCAGCTGGCCACCGGGGACGAGTTCTATCTGATGGAGGACGCTAAACTCGTCTGCAAGAGTGACTACGAAGCAGCAAAACAGAGAGGTAAGCACCACATAGTTTGCAAACAGAATTAATACCAGCCCAGAAGAGAACAAGGAATATCCATGCCTTCCGAATGAGTACCAGAGTTATCAACTAAGGATTGTGGTGTTCAAGAATTCATTCTTTCCTAGAACTATCGCAGAGTGGAACTCACTGTCACCAAGTACAGTAGGGACATTGTCACTAGATAGCTTAAATAATGTTTAGAGTTAGATGTTCAAGGGTTAGGTGTAACAAGTCGTTCGGTGTGATGTAGCCAGCTGCCGCCGCGCCGCGTGCCTGCGAAGCTGGTGTGTTACGCCGAAAGGCGGTTTACCGGCCAGACAGATACAGATACAGAAAACATCGCAGGACGTCCCCTTTAGCTTTGCTTAAGAGATCTATAGCGAATTGCTCTGATTTTTGTGACTGATGCCGTATTTCGCATGTCTTGGAAAGTGAAGATGTCAGATCAGAAGAGACCATGTACCAGTGTCGCAATGTTACACAGGATATGACACGACAGTTAACACGTGAACACACATGTGTGACAACATGTCCCTGAGGCCTTTGAAGGCTCACTCTCTCTCAATCCAGGGCGTCATCACTCCTACGGAAGAACCCCTCCCTTGACTTGCTCCACTCTTGTCTGAGTCTGGCATTCCTGGGCCAAGCAGGGCCCAGGTGTTGCACAATCCGATGCAATTTCAGGGCGGCAAAATAAAAAAAAATGCATGAGGAAATTTGCCTGATATTGATATTTGCTGCCATTTCTTATCACAGTTTCGTTATCATTTAATACTTGTAGTGATTGCAATAGCAGAGAAACAAGCTACGTGAGGCATCCTATTCTCTCGGGATGTTAAGTTTTAGTTCATACCCTTTTCTTTTTGTACTATGTTCAACAGTCCTTGGTATACATTGTACCATGTACAATTATCGTGCAGTGGACATGTGTACATACAATACGAAACCAGCAACTGGACTACATTGAACGAATGATCCTTCACTTTAAAAATCCAGTTTTGCGTCCTTGAAATCGCACTGGCTGCCTTCAAAAAGGGAAGATGAAAAGCTGCAGAATGAAAGCTTGCGTTTAAGAATTACCAGCCACTGTAGCACTGTGAATCAAATCCTCATGGTGTCTAAAATGTTGTATACCGTAGATTAAAACTAGTTAGTTCGAGTTCAAATGTGCAGCTTTGAATATAAGATGGAGTGGACATATTTATAAACATATCTACATAATAGAGAAGTTCCAATCAGAGATAAATATTGAAATAAAATGTTCAAATCATTGTACGGATACAGAGGTTTGTGTAGGTAGGTCCGATTTGTACAAAACAAACATCTTTAAACAACAACGTGACAAAAGAAACATTGTAAAAACAAACATGTTGTTCTACATAGTTTAGACAGACTGATACACAGAATGTGTATAACAAGATAGAATAATGCACTAAATGTGAAAAAGCAGTATCGTAGACATGATAAGAATGTTTACAAGAAGCATAGTCAGTCCACTATAGCCTCCTTGTTAGTATGTAGTAAAATGTTAATAGAGTGACACCAAATATGGAAAAGAATTTTCCAGAATAACTCAACGAAAAGTGGAACTCAGACGGAAATACACAAGAAGAGATTATTTATTTCTTAACACAACAGAGTAATGCGCAAAATGGCATTAGATCCATATACCGAATCGAATACGCGATTTGTACACGTGTACGTATAAGTAGAATGCGCTAACAGTCGCTGTCAACAAATTTTGTTTTTGAAGTACTCTCCACGGATATTTGAAACATATCGAAGATGAATCGTTTTGGATCAAGTTCAAATGTTGTAGACAAGAGTCCTATCGCTCTCACGGCTGTTTTTAGAAACATAACATCATGTTGAAGTATCTTAGTCCAGTAGATACCTACATGTAGGTATCTACTGGACTAAGATACTTCAACATGATGAGCAGAAATCACCTAGGTTAGTTTTATTCTACACTTATTTGAGATAAATATTAATATTGTGGCTTTGCTGTACCTGGTTTGGTACTTCGTTAAGATTTCCATAAAAAAACTGTACAACTACAATCCCTTGAAGACAAAACATATATATCTTGACCACAAATGTTCGGTTGAATATTGAGCCATAACCATACAGCAAACTCGGGACATTCTAGGATATGTTGTACAATGTTTTTTGACGGAAAAGCTTGGCATAGACCCTTGTTCCAAAATAGCTTCGTTGAAAATCCTACCTCCTCCCCCCCCCCAACCAAAAAAAATATGGCCGCAAAAATGCACATGGAGAATACGATCTCACAGGCATCACAGGCGTGAAATAGAATTGTGTATTTCTTGTTTGTTTGTTTTTGTTTATTAAAAAACACATGCCGGCACACAGAATTTATCGACAAGTCGTTGTTGTACCACGTCCTGGTGATTATAGATGTGGTCTGTTTTATATCAGTCTCCTCACATTTATCGGCATTTAGGGTGATTGGACTTCTGGCATAAAACGTGTAAAACAAGGAAAGCTCATTTCCGTGTCAACTAGTCAACTGTGGTGCGGCTGCGACGCTGCAGTAATTGCTTGTAAACGAAACTGGGTTGGTGGAAATAAGTAGAGGGGGACCCGCAAGGATGGAGCCGGTATACTGTGCGCCGGTAGGGCCCCACAGGTGCAGACTGGAGGTGAAATGTGTGTGAGAGTTGCGGATTGTTGGGCCTGACTACATGATACAGTGAAGTTTATTGCAAATACATGCCCCAGGGCTAATTCTAGGTACAAAAACATGTATGAAAAAAAGTACAAAATATGTCTAGCATTGTACTAAATTTTACAACATACGTGGTACTACCTTTGCTGGGCTTGACTTCTTCTTTTGAGGCACTAGAAGACGAATTTACCAACATCTTGTATAAAATGTGGGTTCTTTGATTTTAATAATAAAACAGTAAATTTGATTGTTTGATTTTATAGTGTTTAGATACATGTAGGACTAAGAAAATCGACAGTTGGTTACATGTTTGACTACATCAAGACGCACGTGCCTTACAGTACAATATTCACATGTATATGTACATGTATATGTAGGAATCCCTGAATCGCTGTAGTGCAGGGTCGGGTATGACTTAAACAACAGTATCTCACTATAGACATGTGCTGTATGCAGCTGCTGTAGTCTGTATGTACTGTGTATGGGCTGATTGACTATAGTACAGGACTGCTATGGTACAGAACCGTGGTACCAACAATCTCTACATTCATGGTGCTGGCCTATAATACCAGCTTTGTATGTACCAATGAACCATATACCATATCTTGATTACAAAATAGTGATTGTAGCTTCATTTCCAAACAGGCTAAGATTATGTATGATCTAGTAACAGTTGATCTATACACAGATAGAAACAGACACACACAACCCTGTACAGGTAGTCATAGAAACTAGAAGTAGTTTCAGTCAGGTGGGAAGATCTCTTCCAGTTGAGGCCGCTCATTCATTTACTGACCTGTCATTCCCAGTTTGTGTGGACTGTCAAGTGCCTTATAGTTGTAAGTTACTAAATAGTATTCCATATGCTTGTGAAGTGCACCTGTTGGTAAATTAGAGAGCTCTTTTGTTCCCTTTTGAAGGCTTTGGCAATTGTTACTTGAAGGTTGTGTCCTCTTATTTTTTTTTTATAATCCCAACATTTCATGGCCAAACATGGCGACGGTATACTCATGTTGTATGAACTTATTTTATGTCGCCACCAACACAGAGTACAAATACAGGACAATACTCATTTTCACTTGAGTTAAGTGATGAAAGTCGTGTAAAGGGCCTTTCCCAAGGGCAGAGGATCGGTCAGGACTCGAACCCGGGACCTCTTGGTTCCGAGTTAATAAGATTTCAATTGGAACAGGTATAAAGAACAGTTGTTTTGTTTCTCCACAGAAATGGAGCTGGAGGGAACACAGAAGAGACCCCGCACAACTATCACTGCCAAGCAGCTAGAGACCCTGAAACAAGCGTACCAAAACAGCCCCAAACCCGCCCGCCATGTCCGAGAACAGCTGTCACAGGAGACAGGACTGGACATGAGGGTCGTGCAGGTACGTCCTGATCAAACAAACTTCTCTGGTTTTCCTTCTACTGTTCTTTTATTCTGAAATATCATGTTAAACACGTATCCAGTGCAATTTAAGAGCGACGATGTCAATTCTCTGGTTATTCTTTTAATGTAATAAGTTGAATTAATCCTATCCCATTGCGTACTGATATAGGTGAGGTAAAAATGCAAAGTCGCTAACGAAAAATGGTTGTGTATCGTAGGCTGGTTCTAGATATTTATGGGTGGTACCCAAAAATAAAGAAGCGCCTCACGCAGATTGTTTTTTAAATATTCAAGTATAAAATGATGACAAACTAGAGTTCCACGATCTCATACCTTCGCCAAATGATGTTAGCTTTTATGATTAAGAAATTATATATTAATCCCCCTAATTATGCAAATAGGATCCTCAATTGCATGAATTATATCTGTTGATCATATTCTCCACTAAAAGACAGTCTTATCTTAACAAAGAATGCCATGATGACACTTTCTCATAAATTATGCAAATGAGGTCCTTATTTGAATAAGTTATGTTTAATTATGTTCACCTTAACTTAACTTTCAAACACCCCAAGTATAAAATTCCAGGCAGTTACCACTATGCAATTATAATATTTTCTCATTAATTATGCAAATTAAGTCTTCATTTGCATAGTCGATATATGCCTGTGTTTCTCTCATTCTTAATAACATATGTCACAAGCTTGAACTTCCTATTATGGAATGCAGCTGATAAATAGAATTTCCTCATTAATTATGCAAATTACATCCATATTTGCATAATTGTAATATCATTATGTCAAGCATCACTCAAGCTACCTACATACCAAAAATCACGATGATCCATCAATCGGTTCTTGAGTTATCCGCCTTTAAACATTTGTCCATTAAACCCCCCTGCAGTTCTAGAGCAAGCAACTAGGGGGCTCAAACTCATGTCACTTTATCCCCAGCACAAGAGCTATCTACCATCCAACTTTCGTCACCCTAGCATGTCTGGATCATGAGATATCAAAACCGGAAGTTCTGCTGCAGTACCATGACAAGCCGCCAGGGGGCCCAAAATCTAATCATTTTGAGGTCTCATCAAGACCTACCCACCTACCAAGTATCAAGACAATCCATCAAGGCCTTCTCAAGTTATAGTGTTTACACACACACACACACACACACATACACGAACGCCCCTGAAAACATAACCTTCTTGGCGAAGGTAAAAACGTGCAAAAAAATAACAGTAAATACATGTAGTAAATGTCAAAATCAAACAAATTTCCTTACCCAGAATATTTTTTTGTCTTGCCGTTATGTTGCATTGGATAGCTTTAATTTCTTAGAGTAAAAGTAGCTCAGAGAAATAACCCCATGTATGCATGTTTCCAGGTGTGGTTCCAGAACAGAAGAGCGAAAGAGAAGAGACTGAAGAAGGACGCGGGCCGGGCCCGGTGGGGACAGTACTTCCGCGGGAACAACAACAACAACAACATCAAACGGAAAGGCTCGCCCGCTAGAAGCGAACAAAATGGCGCCGTGGACGACCTGGATGCTGATCTCTCTAAGGATATAGTTTACTCAGGTACGCGTTACGTATGAATAGTGTGATGGTGGAGGGGAAGTTATGAAGGGCCTGAATTACATCTTATGTATGTAGAAGTTCTTTAGAATGATATTTCATGAGGTACAATTCACTTCTTCGTGATGTTTCCTTCAAATTTTCGGGTGAAATTGTTCAACGGAAGTTACTGATACAAGGTTTGAATAGGTATGAAGTAGGGCTAACAACAGATATTCGTTTTCTAGTGTGTGTGTGTGTGTGTGTGTGTGTGTGTGTGTGTGTGTGATCGTGTGTGTGTGCGTGTGTGTGCGTGTGTGTGTGTGTGTGAAATAACGTTATATTTCGCTCGGTATGCAGCCGAATTCAGTCTGTATAGGTGGTCCATGCTGTGCCTTCATAGTCACTTTACCCGGATTTATTCCACATAAACATAGTTTCAGGTATCCAAGCGAGAAAATGATCTCTTTTCTGCCCTGCACAGATTTAATTTGCAGCCCTAATCCTATATCAATGTCTTGTACCAAACCGCTTGTTCACCGTGTGAGTTGTGGCGCGAATACTGAGTAACTCTCTGTACCCTGCCTTTTAGCATGTGGAGTTGTAAATATACATGTACGTGGTAAGAAAGAGTTGTAAATATACATCGTGCAATCTTTAAAACAAAACTGCCGAGCGGGAAGTTATGTATCAGTAGTTACTCATGTCCAAATCTCTCTCACACTACCTGTACGTGTGTTTAGGTCAGAGAAGAAAATTAAGATAATTCTGCCGGTGTAAAGAAATTTAATTAGATGCATCACTTGTGACCGGACACGACATGAAGCAAGACCTTCAAATTATTCCAGCAATTTTGAGGGCCGAATCTTGTCGTAATCCTACACGGCGGCGGGCCAAACGAAGTTATCAGGGCTTGATAGATCGGCATGACGCGCCAAGGTTCCCCCACAATCAATGCGAGCGGAGTCGGTCATTTGTTGCGGGGGTATTGGGCGAATATGGCAGATGCACGGGTCATTATTTGCAGGCATATTTTTTGTCTTGCGCTGACACCCGGGCCCCAAGGGTTACATCTACTCCCAGGTCAGAATCAAT